AGTCCGTCCTGGACCATTCTCACAATCGACTTGAGAATGGTCCAGGACGGACCGAAACGTCGTCGTCCCTTCACCTTCTAGTGTGTGGTCTGGTTAACTCAATGGATGTACCTTTGCCTGAATAAAAAATCTAAATCAAAATCTAAAAATGATAGAATAAGAGTCGCTGTGTTGAAATAAGGGTCTTAAGGCCTGGTTGATACCTGGTTGATACCTGGTTGATACCTGGTTGATACCTGGTTGATACCTGGTTGATACCTGGTTGATACCTGGTTGATACCTGATTGATACCTGGTTGATACCTGGTTGATACCTGGTTGATACCTGGTTGATACCTGGTTGATACCTGGTTGATACCTGATTGATACCTGGTTGATACCTGATTGATACCTGGTTGATACCTGGTTGATACCTGGTTGATACCTGATTGATACCTGGTTGATACCTGGTTGATACCTGATTGATACCTGGTTGATACCTGATTGATACCTGGTTGATACCTGGTTGATACCTGATTGATACCTGGTTGATACCTGATTGATACCTGGTTGATACCTGGTTGATACCTGATTGATACCTGGTTGATACCTGATTGATACCTGGTTGATACCTGGTTGATACCTGATTGATACCTGGTTGATACCTGGTTGATACCTGGTTGATACCTGATTGATACCTGGTTGATACCTGGTTGATACCTGGTTGATACCTGGTTGATACCTGGTTGATACCTGATTGATACCTGGTTGATACCTGGTTGATGGGGTTCTGGGAGTTCTTCTACTCCCCAAGCCCGGCCCGAGGCCAGGGTCGACTTGTGAGAGTTTGGTCCACCAGGCTGTTGCTTGGAGCGGCCCGCAGGCCCACATACCCACCACAGCCCGGTTGGTCCGGCACTCCTTGGAGGAAACAATCTAGTTTCCTCTTGAAGTTGTCCACGGTTATTCCTGTACTAGGACGATAGTCTTTGGTGTGTGGTGTTAGTCGATCTTATAATCCTCTTACTCTTATAAGAATTAAGACCAGATGCTCGACACTGCTATCTCAGCTATGTGAATACATTACGACCTATTCCACCCCCTCATTTCCTTCCTCCCTATCCCCCCCCCACACACTCCTTCCCCCTACCTCTTATCCATCCTTGCCCAATCACTCCCTCCCCACGTCATTTCAACCTAAAAAGTTGTTCCCAAAGTGCAAATGTGTCATCTGAACATGTTTGAAAAATATCTGAAATCACTTGTATTTACACGAATAGTAAAATCTATGGACTCGGGGCTGAACATTTCACATGTATAATGAGACTAGCCGTTAGCATCTGACCTCCGACCTCGAACAGACAGGTAACAGACCAACACCCTGTTTAATAGACAGATTGACGGGACCCAGCTGGGAGTCGTATATATAGCATGAAACACAAAACCGTTCTACGAACCCTGGAATAAAGGGAGGTCATCTTGTTGACACTCGTTCCAATTAGCCACCGGGGTGGGGGGGGGGGGGCTGACTTGGCCCACATATGGCAAGCCAAGCCTACATATAAGTGTTGTCAGACCCGCATGTGGTTTTCCATATCTGCATGTGTGGTTTGGAGCCCATACGGGTGACCTGACTTACATATGGACAGTATAATGACAGACTCGCAATTACCTTTGTCCTAATTAACAAGCAAATGTAATTATATGATTATTTAATGCCTGAGTGAAGGACAAGAGGGTCCCTGAGGTCCCTGAGGTCCCCTGGTTGTCAGGGGCCCTACACCTGAGTGACGGGACAGAGAGAGAGAGAGAGAGAGAGAGAGAGAGAGAGAGAGAGAGAGAGAGAGAGAGAGAGAGAGAGAGAGAGAGAGAGAGAGAGAGAGAGAGAGAGAGAGAGAGAGAGAGAGAGAGAGAGAGAGAGAGAGAGAGAGAGAGAGAGAGAGAGAGAGAGAGAGAGAGAGAGAGAGAGAGAGAGAGAGAGAGAGAGAGAGAGAGAGAGAGAGAGAGAGGGTGAAATAGAACAGAGAGACACAGAAGAAACTAAATTAATAAAAATCAAAGAAATGGACAAGGAGATACGAAGAACACACACAAGTTATAAACGTTAATTATTTGAGCGTTTTCATGTACATTTCGAACCCATCTTCACAGAAGAGTTGATGACGCTTGCACGAAAGCGCTTAAAACATTTCCATTTCCCCCTTGTCTCGCGGTAACGTTTATTAAAATATTCATTACTTGTGGGACTCTATGACACACACACACACACACACACACACACACACACACACACACACACACACACACACACACACACACACACACATACACACATACACACACACACACACACACACACACACACACACACACACACACACACACACACACACACATACGAGTATTTCCTCACATCAAACTCAAAATAATGAGAAGAAATTCCTGGTAAACTTTTATATGAGGGAGTGAGCAGAACCTGGCACTTAGGAATTTTGTAAATATACAACACTGAGGGCAAGTTGGCAGCACTCACGAATGAGGGCAAGTTGGCAGCACTCACGAATGATGGCAGGTTGGCAGCACTTACGAATGATGGCAGGTTGGCAGCACTCACGAATGATGGCAGGTTGGCAGCACTCACGAATGATGGCAGGTTGGCAGCACTTACGAATGATGGCAAGTTGGCAGCACTCAAGAATGAGGGTTGAGCACGTACAATGAAATCACATTAACCTCATGTATCAAAGAGAATATCAGTAGGAGTCACGAGGAAGTTGCATTGCTTTGGACCATGGAGTGGTGAAGTGGTCTAGAGCGTCGACTTGGGAGTACCAAGTGTACGGGTTCGAATCCTGTTCGTGGATCCTACTGATTTCCTCAGGGGAGAACAGCAGTTAACGCAGGGAAGGGAGGTTTAACAGCACTTTGCTGCTCTCTCTACTTAGGGCTCGACACTCTCGTGAGTTGTGTGTGGGTGTTGGGGCTGTGTGGGTGTGGGTGTTGAGGCTGGGTGGGTGTTGGGGCTGTGTGGGTGTGGGTGTTGAGGCTGGGTGGGTGTTGGGGCTGTGTGAGTGTGGGTGTTGAGGCTGGGTGGGTGTTGGGGCTGTGTGGATGTGGGTGTTGAGGCTGGGTGGGTGTTGGGGCTGTGTGGATGTGGGTGTTGAGGCTGGGTGGGTGTTGGGGCTGTGTGGGTGTTGGAGGCTGGGTAGGTGTTAGGAGCTGGGTGGGTGTTTGGGTGTGGGTGTGGGAGCTGTGTGGGTGTGGGTGTTGGGGGCTGCAGCAGGTGTGCTCGTAGGGGGAAATATACGTCCTGGCAACTCAGTCCTTCAGCAATATTTACGTCCCGGCAACTCGTCCATCGACATGGCAAGGTGGCGAATGGGGAAATTAATCATTTCCTGGAATATATATATTGTGTGTGTATATATATATATATATGACAAGTTAGGGCAAAACCACATATCAGAGAATATAAAAATCGAGACGTATACCCAGTTTCTCGTTGTATATTCACTGAGAGTAACTTTATTCCTGGATTATGTTCAGGATTAAAGTATGCTTCCTGATTGGTCAGCTGCTGCTGTTGCCATAATAACCCCTTCAGAGATTGACAGTCGTTCAGCTCAACACCAAACAAACCTCACCCCCCACCCCCCACCCCCCTCATAATAACCTCATCCACACTGTCAAATGTAGGCTTGTACCCCCACAGATATATATCAGTTGGGCCTATTAATACGCTTGAATAATAAGCTCTGATCTGATGATAAATTATCGTACGTGAAGGGTGCAATATTGACATGACGTAGTGGGATAAATTATCGTACATGAAGGGTACAATATTGACATGACATAGTGGAATAAATTATCGTACGTGAAGGATGCAATGTTGATGTGACGCGTTTGGGTCACAATATTGACCTATCCGGGGTCACTACTGACTTGTCCGGGGTCACTACTGACGTGTTGGGACTCTGCTGTCGTATTGGTTTGTCAACCAGTCCCAGGCTCGTTAAAGCAGCGGCCGTCGGCCAACATGCATTCATTAAATTGTGTATTTCATTTATATATTAAGGTTATTATATATTAAAGTTCTGTGTATAGTTACGTGTAGGTGAAGTGAGGTGCTTAGGTTCTGTTGGCGATTGTTTGTATTTGTAGTCTTTTAGGGAAGCATTTACAGCGTTGCGATTCGAACAGAGGACGTCAATGAAGCACCTGTTCGAGAAGTGTTCGAATGGCATCAATTGCGAGTCGTGTGTAAACCATTTTTCAATCATAAACAGATGGTTTGGCAGCTGAATAAACGATCATTTGGCCTTTATTAATGAGGCCGGTGGGGGGGGGGGGGGGGTAGGGTTCAATTCCTTCTCATCTTAAAGCTGTATTTTTAAAAGATTCAAAGACCTTCATAGCAGTTCAAAAATTTACAAAGTTTTCCCAATTAGCAAACATGACAATATTTATATGTTCACTTATTTTAACTGAAGTGGATTTGTAAAATTTGAATCCTGAACACTATTTTGGATAAACGAGAAAACAAAAGTGCAGTGATATATGATTTTGTTGATATATCAATGTTAAGATATATTCTGCTTTTGAATATTGTTATCCCTTGATTGATTCCTGTTATTCCTATTATTTTGATTGATGGTTATTTACATAATGTTGCATGAAGGATGTGTATGGTACGCAGCAGGAGGTGAGAATACAGTCTGTATTTCCCGACTGTACAGCCACACTTAGGCTCTGGTAACGTAAGTTGACAGCTCTGTGGTTCCTTTGTTGTTTCGATGAGCCTAGAACCCAAATCCTTGAGAAAGGGTTTGACACTTATCTCAGATGCCAAAGATCTATGAATCAATTTTAACCCCCCCCCCCTTCCCTGTATACCAGTAAGGTTTACCAGTATCCCTTGTAACAGGGATTATACGCTGGAAACAAGCGCATGGGAGTTCCACCTCTTGGTTGTAGTGTTATATATGTTGTTATTGTTGATATTAAGTAGTGTTGTGTTCGCAGGCGGAACTCCTACGACCTCGGGGTGGGCCGGAGCCGCAAGGTGGGCAGCTTGCCTTCTCCGTCTTCCCGGTCTCTACCCAGTGAGGTGCTCCGCTCCACCGGAGTGCCCAAGGGTGAGTATCGCATGCCATGAGTGAGTGGCGGTCCCCCGTGAGTGACTCGGTGAGTAACGCTTCCCGTGAGTGACACATTCCCAAGAGTACTACTTCTTTTGAGTGGGTAATGCGTCCCAAATAAGTGGGATGCGTCTCGATTTGTTACAACGTCGAATAAATGACGTATTAAATTTCCCGAAGTTAACCTGCGGCCGAGGAGCCGCGAACAGAAAAACGGGACAGCGGTCAGTTTTGCGGGTCGCTATGGTTTATAGTACACTGTATTTTGACGTTTGGGATACGTCAAAATACGATGTATATTTCGAGAGAAGGGTTAGATTACCTGTATGACTATATATCACTATATAGGACAGACGAAGGGGTAGGATAGGATGACTGGGGACAAACTATTAACCATATGATACACAGAAAATACAATCTATACACTAGCACTCGATACACAACCTGAACCACTCTCCATCAAGTTAATAAACTGAAGCACGGAAATTGAGTAAATTGCACGATTGCATAAGAACATAATTTACATTGCAGCAGGCTTATTAACCCATATGAGGCAAATGCTGTTGATATCCATCCAAACTCATTCATATATATCTAACCCACAAACAACAAATGACCAATCCTATCTTCCCATATAAGATGTCGTAAATGATATCTTAATAAACATGGGCCTCTTCAGAAATTATATACACGTCCTTAAAAACTTATGTCTTATAGTTGAAGCCAAAGATATTGAAAATCGTATCCAAAGATACTGAAAACGGGTTTGATTAGTCCATAGAGTTACCTGCTTGATGGGGTTCTGGGAGTTGCAGGCGATGAGTCACAATAACGTGGCTGAAGTATGTTGACCAGACCACAATCGACTTGAGAATGGTCCAGGACGGACCGAAACGTCGTCGTCCCTTCAATTTCTGGGAGTTGTTCTACTCCCCAGTAGAAGAACTGGTCTTCTTCTACTGATCTTGGGCAGTAGTATTTCCTATTGGTTTAAATACTTAGCAACTACTATGATTTATTTAGAGCTGAAGCCTATGTATATGGACAGCACAAGCCACAAACCAGACTGTGCGACTCAGTGGTGACACCTCCTCACTGTATATATTAATTTCTCACTGCATATATTATTATTATATGTACGACGTGCTATGCTACGGTAAACTTCCAAAAAACAAAGCTTGAGATCAACAGAATCAATATTCTTAAACTCTTCATCCAAGAATTCTGGATTAGCAACCCGAAGAGCTCATAGGTACATAGAGGGAAAAATGTATTATTTCACATTGTATCTATGGCCTGAAAAATAATGAACATAAAATAAATTATTCGTAGGCTTTCTATAAACTTTAGTGAAAAAAAATCATCCCTATGAATAAGTATATCAAAGAATGGTAAACATTTATCAAATTCAAATCTCGATAGTGAATTTTATAGAGGTGACTTGATCGTTAATTTTAGCGAAAATTAGCCTAGATTAGGTTAGATTGGGGGATTTATTTTCGTTTTTCCTTCCCATATTTTAAAATTTATTGTTTTCAGATTTGTCTTGTTTGTTCTTTTTTGTACCAAACCAAAAACTAATCAATTTACATAGCCTAAATAGGCTACATATTAATTAAATGTAGTTACAGTATATCACAAAGATTTGGCTATTATGGCTTCAGGTGTGTGGAAAGTGTGGCCACTATAAGTTATCCAACACACCTCTGGGGCTGGGAGACCATTTCTGACTGTTGTCTTGTGTTGCAGGTGTGGTGGCAGGTGTGGGCAACAGGGCACGAAACACCCCGGGCACTGAGAGAGAGTTCCACACCTTTAGTTACGAGAGTGACTTCGAGACCGATGAGGAGGTGAGACAATTAGAACGGATACAAAGTCATATCGTACACATGACGATTCGCCAATGGAATTTTTTGAAGCCTACCTAAATTAACCTAGCTCAACCCAACTCAAGAAACCTAACTCAACTCAACCTAACCTAACCCAACCCAACCGAGCAAAATACAGCCTAACCTAAGCTAATACATCCTGCATAGCAATGTACATGGTTTTAACAAACAGAAAACAAACGTTCCAGACATCTCATGTCTGGAACGACCATACCCCATTAGACCATTTAATAATTTATTATTATTATTATTAAGATATCTAAGGGACCATATTACAGTGGTTATATAGTTAACACATTAATTATTTATTATATAAAGGCAATAATTATGCACAGCATTTTGGGAACAACTTAAAATAATAAGCGATTTTAATTTAAAACTGGTTCGATATGTAATCATATTTGATGAAGAGTACATTCTGATGTCTATAGTTATGAGACTATAGTTAATTTATTTAGTTTTTACAGATTTAGGTTTAGATAAGGTCAAGTGGGTTATTTAAACATCTGAATAGCATCTGAAACTAAACTGCATAGTGGTCAATGCGAGGCAGCTCCTGTTTAAACAAAATCTAACTCATTTATATTTATTTGTCTAACCTACTCTTGAAACAATCCTGCAACCCAATGTCTATTATGTTACTTGGTAATCTGTTGCATAAATCAAAACCCTGTTTCTAAACCAGAGCTCCCAAAGTTTCTTCTGGTTCTCATTTACCCAGTTTTTCTCCCTTGTTTCCCATTTCCTTTTTATTTATTTATTTATTTATGCATATACAAGAATGTACATAAGGAATGTGAGGATACAAATATGGTAATTACAGTCTTGTAAAGCCACTAGCACGCGCAGCGTTTCGGGCAGGTCCTTAATCTAAGAAAATTTTAAGGAGGTAAATACTTGCAAAAATTATAGACAAAAAAATGATAACAGATTACATGAAATGAAAAAAAGATGAGAGAAAATTGTAGGTACAGTATATTAAAGCACATAGGTAGCTGAGATTGATTGCAATGACAGTTTTGTGCTGATATATTTAGAACCCAATTAATATTCACTTCTATAATAGTATACTGTGTAGTATACAGGGAAGTGACCACTTGGCAAACTCTTCCTGTATAATAGTGTACTTTGATATACAGGAAAGTAACCCAAAGCTTAATAACCTTTGCCTGTATAACGGTATACTGTTTGCTGTACAGGGAAGTGACCCCTAAACTTAGCAAACTCTGCTTGTATAATAACACACTGCATTATATACAGGACCCCAACGTCACGCTGGCCAACACCACACTCACCAAGATGAAACTGCTGAGGAAGAAGCAGGAGCACCTGAAGGAGATCGAGCGCCGCCGTCAGGAGCGAGATAACAAGAGATCGCAGGAGGAGCGCGCCAGGAAATACCGCCAGCTTGAACTAGAACACAGTCAGAACTCCCTCCAGCCCTCCAGGGCAGACACTGGAGACTCCAGTCTAGGTATGTACTGGATACATGTCTTCTTGCCTAGTATGACACATGTTTGTATGGAATCAACCAATCCACTGTAATTGCAAAGAATTTTAGTAGATTGTTTATGGGGGGGGCAGTTGACAAGCCGTCGGCTTCCTGTCCTCACTGAGGCCACTAGGGTTAGTGGCCCTTAGGTAAATCAGGTAAAAATATATGGTTTTCCAGTAACAGGAATAGGAGACCTGTTTGACTAATCAAGGTCCTCTTGGTCAATAACCGACCCTCCACAGGATGCTACCGACAAAATGTGAGGTGCACTATTATTCAGAAGAACTGGTTAAACCTATAATTTCTTAACTGGGTTCAGTAAGAGTTACATAATGTTTAGGAAAGACAATAATGCAGTGTTTTTAATTAACAAGCTGAGATATTCATTGAGTCGGGGGACAGGAAGCCAGAGTGTATTCATATACCTTTGAATTTTATTGAGGTCCCCTTCCCCAGGCCAGATTACTGACTCTGCCCAGGATGCAACCTCACAACAAGCTGATTAGCTCCTGAGTACCTACTCACTGCTAGGTGAACAGAGGCATTAGGTGAAAGGAAATGTGCCCAACCATTTCTGTCGAACCCAAAAATCTCAGTTTTGTGTCGAGAACGAACCCGACTGTACTACTGGGACTCTATTGCATATACACAGCAATGTGTTGCTACCCTATTTTATATGAGGTATTGCAGTCTAGGTCAAGAACAAGCTATATCATGATGCAAGAATGTGTTGTAATTCACAGTGTGTAAATCACAAGGGGGAAAACTCGCACCAACTTGTGTCATAAAAATTGCATTCAAAATAAATCATTGTTTAGTGAGAGAGGATGTGGAGGTCAGACTTTGTTAAAATTGAGATTACTCGCCATGTTAAAATAATCTATACCTATTATATTTCATTATTCTAAAGCTATTTTATACATTTGCAGGCATTCCTTCCACCCTGAGCTACGGCAGTCGAGGCTCTGTGCTCAGTCCGCAACACAGCGTCAGACCCAGCCCCCGGCCAAGTGTTCATCCAAGCCCCCGACCGAGTCCCCGTCCTAGTCCCCGTCCTAGCCCCCGTCCTAGCCCCCGGCCTAGCCTCACCAGCACCATTCCTCCCTCTCAGATAAGGATCACCAAAAGCAAAAGTGTGAGCAACAACCTGAGCAAGAGTTTAGCTCGGAGTGGCGTCAAACCAGAAAAGCGGCATCGTTCACTGGAGAGAAATCCCGCTGCACAAACTAATGGTTTCCACTCACGGGAGACCTTCAGGTGTGTACCAGATGTAACAATCCCTCGTTTCCTACCTAGTAGTATTCAGATAATTCAATCCGTCTTCTAAAAGTTATAGTACTGTACTGTACTATAATGTTTATTTTAGGAGCTATTGGTCAGACGTACAAAAACTGGATGTTTGTACCTAAACAGTGACCAAGTTTTTGTACTGTTAAGTTTCTTGTGGGAATGAGAAAGCATGCAACAACCAAGCCTAAACTTTACTAGGCAATAGCCTAGCTATTTGTATAGCAAATGTGTGTTTTAAAATAGGTCTGAGATGGCATATACTGTATTAGGCCTAGGATTGTTTATTTAGGCTATGACAGGTAAAGTCATATTGTTTAGTTGCTACTCTAATCTTTGGCCAGATACTTGAAGTATTCATTACTATTGAATTTGGTATTAGAATGCTGATCTCAGTGAAGCATTAATTCATTGAGAAAATTCTATCATATTGCTGTTTTTCCCTCTTTTTCCAATACTGTATTTTCTTTCATAGCAGTATAACACCTTGCATCAACTTACTTGAAGCACTATTTTCAAAAACATAAGTTTTCGTATGTAAACCGAGGTTTTTACTCGGCTGGGCTTAAGCACATTTACATGTGTATATTTTTATAAATATACTGGGTATATAAATGTAAAAATGACTCGATGTGCTGCAAAGGTTTTAAGGCTCTCCACAACATGCAAATCTCGTCTTTTGGTCCTGCATTACCGATTATTCTTGGGTGTCATAGACCTTACGATTGAAGTTGGCTTGTTGCTGCCCTAACAGTGCAGTGTGATCTGACTACCACCAGGTGGCAGATGGGTATCTGCTGGTTTGTTATCTATATTTCAGAGCGCTAATTTGATATCCTGGTGTTGTCAATAATTACTTGAAGGTTTTGAAAGTTTTCCTATGGGTTTTGGTTTCAGTGTGTAGTCAATTTGAGTGTTGCAGCTCCGTCTATTAGGGTCTGGAGTGTGAGCCGAGCAGAGTACTGGGTAGACCCTGCCTCTGGTTTGGGACCCTTCTCAGACTGAAGCATTTCAGTAATTTCCTAACTTGATCAGTATACTGTTCATTTATAAATACTTCTTTATTATTTAGTTGAACTCATTTAAACTTAAATAATCATTTGTAACCCTGAGGTTATTGATATCCATAGAGTCCCAAACTTGTGTCCACAGTCTCCCATGCTTTAGCAATACAGTACTTTGGTCAGCTTACATATTGTATAATAAGTAATATTATTATATGTAATAGAGTATAATAATATTGTCTTTGTACATGGTCTACCTCTAAAGTTTACTAACACCCAGCTCTCAAATTTACAGACGGAGTAACCAAGCTAGCCTATTACTCACTTTAAATCAATATGCCTTTATTACCAAATTCTATAAGAATAATTTAACGAAAGCTTTCCAAATTTTCACCGCATTCTATACAATGCTGTATGCTTAATATGAAAAAACTAAATAACATTTACTGTACTGTATTTGATTTGATCTTCTTTGGTAAAAAATATTGATGCATAAGATGTTTGTTACAGCTTTGGAGAGAATATATTATGTGATCATATTAACACACGTAATAACTACAAATTAATTTATAGGGAAAACAGTTATGTTCAGTTTTTGCACTGTCACTAATATACATAGGACCTTGGGCATGTATTAGAGGGCTTATGCATGAGGAATTTACTATTTATGAACAGGACTCCCCAGTTAGTGAAACGAGGCCAGCCTCCTGCTGGTTCAGGAGGCAGCTCTGGTGGCACCCACTATAACACAAAGCTCGCCAGTAGTGGGGTCACGACCTCGTACACACGACGACCTCCTAGGCGTTTGCCTGATAGGTGGGTGTTGACCTCTAGTTCTCCTGTAGCTTATATTGACCTACCTCTAGCTGTCCTGTAGCTCATATTGTCCTCCAGTTCTCCTGTAGTTCATATTGTCCTCCAGTTCTCCTGTAGCTCATATTGTCCTCCAGTTCTCCTGTAGTTCATATTGTCCTCCAGTTCTTCTGTAGTTCATATTGTCCTCCAGTTCTCCTGTAGCTCATATTGTCCTCCAGTTTTCCTGTAGCTCATATTGTCCTCCAGTTCTCCTGTAGCTCATATTGTCCTCCAGTTCTCCTGTAGCTCATATTGTCCTCCAGTTCTCCTGTAGCTCATATTGTCCTCCAGTTCTCCTTTAGCTTATAATGACCTCCAGTTCTCCTTTAGCTTGTATTTTGAATCAGCTATATGTGTTATATCTCAAGTTATTTGTACGGTAATATTATTTACGGAATAATGTTCACATTAGCTTATACTGGTCTTGGAGCTGATCCACTCACGCACTCCATGAAGTAGCTCTGTCATTCTACTTCTCCTGAAGGCTCTATTAGACAGGATCATGAAAGTAGGGCTCAACAGGGTTCTTTTTACTGTCACCATTGTGTATAACATCAGTACTGTGGAGAGAAACTACAGAAAGTTCACTTACTAACTCCCAAATCTTTTTGGACCAAACGTGTCATCACAAGGACCACGAAAGAGCAGTTTCACAAGCCACAACTGCCACCAGATGGCAACGTCCATACCAAATGCAGGTCCCCAGTTACATTCATCATTAAATAAGATTTATTAACAAATGTACAATAAGAATATCTTTAGGGCAGGATGGAACCAGCATCTCGATTCACCAATGTTATTCTTCACCTTTATCTTGCATTATTAGCCTCATTTATATCGTGCAGTTCAGTTTTGGTCACCCTACTATAGCATGAATAAAAAATTCAGTTGAATGAATACAGTAAAGCATAACAAAGTTAATCCCAGGAGTTAGAAACTTTTGAAGAGAGATTAAAACAGCTTACTTTGTTCTCTAGAAAGGCGAAGGTATAGGATGACACGATGAATGTATTAAAATAGATCAGAGGGTATAAGAAAAGGCATACAAATAACATATTTTTAAGTGCCATATATCTATACAAAATAGAACATGGAGCACTTAATGGATATAAATTGGATAAGTTTAGATTCATTAATAGCCTTGATAATTACTGGTTTGAAAATAGGGTTATCTTGAGTATCTTGAGATGATTTCGGGGCTTTAGTGTCCCCGCGGCCCGGTCCTCGACCAGGCCTCCACCCCCAGGAAGCAGCCCGTGACAGCTGACTAGCACCCAGGTACCTATTTTACTGCTAGGTAACAGGGGCATAGGGTGAAAGAAACTCTGCCCATTGTTTCTCGCCGGCGCCTGGGATCGAACCCAGGACCACAGGATCACAAGTCCAGCGTGCTGTCGGCTCGGCCGACCGGCTCCCGGTGCTTGATTTATTGAACAAATTACCATATAACATAATAGATATGGGATTGCTGGGTACTTCAAGCATAGGTGAAGCATATAGTTCCCATTGCAGTCTCCGTGGCAGAGTGGTAAAACACTCGCCATACACTTCGTGAGTGATATGACCTGGGTTCGTATCCTGGCCGGGGAGGATTGACTAGGTGTCAATCCTTAACTGTATGCCTCTGTTCACCCAGTAGTGAATGGGTACCTGGTTGTTATTTATTTTATTTATTTTATTTATTTACTCATTTATTTATTTACTTATATAAATGATTTGGTGGGTCATATTCCAGGAAAAATTAGGATTAAGGACATGGCCAAAATGCTATGCATGCTATTGGCTTTACAAGAATGTAAGAAGTCTTGTATATATAAACTTAAACAAAATCTCTCTCTCTATATATATATACAGTATATGAATGAGCTTGGGTGGGAATAAATAAGAGCTGCTCGAATGGGTAAATAGACCTTCACCAAGACCCTATATTTAATATTATACAGTACAGTACTGATATTCTAATATACTGTAAATAGTGACCCCAAGAGTGTGCTTCATATCCTATAAGCCTTTACAGTACAGTTCTTTATCCCCCTGGTACTAGAAATACTTGATTAAAACCAAAGTAGTGAGGAAAACCAATTATTTTCTGCAAGGTCAAAGTGTTGCTAATTGGCAACCTGTTCTCACATGATACACTGCATTTTGACATCAAACTCCCCCATTGAACAAATAAAGGAGTACTATAGATTATAGCAGCTCACAAACATTCACGTTTTCAATACATGGTCGAAAGGTTAGGTTCCAGCATTTCAGTACCCCATTTTAACAATTAAATCCTCCTACTGCAATGTAAGATTTAATTGGTTCTTCTCTCTGTATTCATGTAAACATGTAATGTATTGATTTAGTAACATAAAATACTTCATATTATGGTAAAAGGGAAAAAAAATGGTAAAGTGGAAAATGATAATGGTGTTGAAGCCTTACGAAGAGATCTACATGAACTTCGCAAATGGTCATAAAACTGGCAAATGCTTTTTAATATCGACAAATACAAGACCATGCATGTGGGGCATAGCAACCCATGCCACAACTATCAAATTAATAGCATTACATTACAGCAGATAGATGAGGAAAAGGACCATGGACCTCAAAATCCACCACTCATTAATGTTGCACAACAGTTCGGAGCAACAGTCAGATAAGCTAACCAGACCCTTGGAATAATTAAGCGTACCCTTGACTTTAATCAGGAAAAAGAAGGTAATGATTCAACTGTATAAATCTGTGATGTGCCCCATTTGGATTACTGTATCCAAACACAGAGACCTCATTTTCAGAAGGACATAGCTGCTCTGGAGAAGGTGCAGCACCAGGCAACAAGTCATTCCAGAGTTAAGTCATCTTTTGTATCAGAAACAGTTGAAGGCCACCCAGGTTAAGAACACTACAAACTGGGCATGGCAGGGCAGATCTCATAGAAACTTTCAAAATACTGAACAAGTTAGAGGATGTTGATTTGGATATTTTCTTCAGAAGGTGAGATGTAACACAAACAAGGAGCAAAAGTTTCAAGCTCAACAAGCCACAGTGTAAGGCTGAGAACAGAAGATCCTTTTTCACCCAGAGGGTTATTAACCCATGAAACCGCCTACCTGCCGAAGCCATAACTGCCAAAACTGTGCTGAATTTCAATACTGTATATACTGTACCTGGAAAAGATCATAAAGGCAAATGGGGGGGGGGGTGGACTTCGACAAGCCGCTGGCTTCCTGTTCTCATTGAGGCCACTAGAGCTAGTGGCCCTCAGGTAAATCAGGTAAATATTTAGTTTCAAGTGTTGTTTCTCATGTCCATTATGTTCATTGTGGCAACTGGAGAGGACAGGCTAGCCAATTGTCTACCTTGTGAAACCCTAGTGCCATATACTGTAGAAACATCCAGAGATCCACTCGGCATTCTATGGATCTTGGCTAATTATGTGAAACAATCAAGTCACCTTATTTCCATGGAAGTGTGGATGGCAATTTATATGTGAAACAACTTTCAGGATCAAACAAGCTAAGAGAGAGGGTACTTGGTTGGTCAATTCCTGGATCTCCACCTTTCTGCATCATTCCCTGATCACCTCTAGCATGTCAAGATGTTAGGAAAATGGGTCTGAGGTGGTTTCAGATTGGTCACGCTAGGTTAACCCAGAGCTATTCACTGATCAAAGGAACAGCCCCTACTTTGTGATGCCTGCCTTGTCTTGCCAAGTGTTAAGTGTTTATGCCCGAAACGCTTTGCGTAATAGTGGCTTTAGGCATTGTATGTACTAGCTATACCTATAAGTTAAACAATCCTTGTAAATATTTATTGTATGTATGTACCTTACCTAAATAAAATTGTATTGTATTGTATTGTATTGTAAGTGCCAGCTAGTCTAGCGTCTTAAACAAGGGAGCCTCAGATATCTAATTGGCGAGAATCAGAAAGGTCTTTGGAAATGAGTATTGTCCCTGATGCTAGAGACCCCTGTAGAGTTCTAAACGAACAGTGTTATTCATTCTGTGGATGCAGGTGGCCTCCTTCACCACTTATAACCTGGAGCTGTAGATCATCATGTCTGTTTCTACAGAAATGTCCCAGCAAACATACAATGTAATCTCAACAATATTTCCTTGTTATTCAAACCTGGTTAATGTGTATATAGCAAAAATTAATGTCAAAATTATGTTGGGTTTGGTAGGATGTTATTACTTCTAATGAATTACATCGTCGTATATGGTGCGCTTTCCTCACTCCTTCAACCGAGGAAGAAGGTCTTTCCTTTCTCAGTCAACCCTTCAACCAAAACTTGCAATGTGATGTAGGGGTCAGTACAAAATGTGAAACATAAATTGAATGTATCAGGGTAATTCATTAATTAAAAATTCTTTTGTACAAATGTATTACTAATTTTTCTTTAACAGTTGATAATTTTTAAAGTAGTTTTTACTTCAATGTAGGATTTAATTGTTTCTTCTATCTATATTCATGTAAACATGTACACTATTGATTTAGTAACATAAAATGCTACATATCTAGTTTCAAGTTTTGTTTCTCGTGTTCATTAATGAAATACTGTACTCAAATGCCCAAAGAAAGCCAAACCACGTGGAAGAGCCAAATCACCCAAGCCCCATTCAAGGAAGGCTGCATCGAGATAGGATGGGCAATCTTACTCCTCCAGGCAAATCTGGCCCTGTAGCTGTGGGACAACAGCGACCTCAACTCAGACATCATGTTGACCCAGAATATAGTGCAGAGTCCAGGCTAGTTATTTGCCTCACCTTGTACGCCTTGTGTGACTTAGTACTGCATTATCTTGTAACCCTTGTGTGACTTAGTAGTGTCTTACCTTGTACCCCTTGTGTGACTTAGTATTGCCTCACCTTGTATCCCCTTATTTTATTTTTTATTTATTTATTTATATATATCCAAGAAGGTACAACAGGTTTATTTGAGTACCTAGTATTGATATTTTGACAATCTTGTAAAGCCACTAACAAGCACAGCATTTTGGGCAGGTCCTTAATCTGACAGATAATTTTAAGTAGGTAATTTGTAGCAAAACTGAAAAACGTTAACAGGTACATTTTAAGAATATTTCCAGAAAATTAGTAGGTACATTTTAGTAAAATTTGAGGATTATCGACAGGTACATTGTAATATAATTTGAGGATTATTTCTAGGTACATTGTAGTAAAATTTGTGTTCAACATAACAACCATGATATTGATGACCAGACCACACACTAGAAGGTGAAGGGACAACGACGTTTCGGTCTGTCCTGGACCATTCTCAAGTCGATTGTGACTTGAGAATGGTCCAGGATGGACCGAAACATCATCGTCCCTTCACCTTCTAGTATGTAGTCTGGTCAACATACTTTAGCCACGTTATTGTGACTCATCGCCTGCAACCATGATATAAGATGATGGGAGTGATTACAACAGTCAAGTTATATGGCTTGGGCACATATTTAGGGGTAGCACACAATACAGTGTGAGTGTGAAACACTAGATAGAAAACTATGAGGATGAAATTGGGTACTTTTTGTTACATTTGAATAAGGAGTAGGTTGAACAGCTTTTTAATTCGTTAGGGAGGGAGTTCCATAGACTAGGTCCCTTTATTTTCATAATGTTTACACAGATTTTGTTTGACTCTGAGGATATCAAAGAGATATTTATTTTTGGTGCGGTGATTATGGGTTCTGTTACATCTGTCAAGGAAGAGTTTCACATTAGGGTTTGCATCTAGGAACAAGGTTTTGTACATGTAAATGACACAAGAGAATGTGTGGAGTGAGTTTATGTTTAGCATGTTGAGGGAGTTAAACAGGAAGGGGAGGGGGGTTGTGTGACTTGGTACTGCCTCACCTTATCACGTGTTCAGAAGCTCATGCACATTGTTCACTGAGAGCTTAAAGTGGCTTGTAAGCACATATTGTTTTTTCAACTACTGGATAACAATGAATTTTCAGGTTTGTCTGTGATGACGGTGGAGATGAGTTAATGAGTTAAAGGCATGAAGCGCATGCACACATGCGCCTGCGCGCGCACACACACAAACCATCCGTAGTTTCAAAGCATTATATAACAGAGTACTGGCGAGATAGGACACACGAGCATAGTTCCGATCCTGTAACTCCTTCTAGGTACAGTAATTACAGACACACAGAAGAAAGTACAATGGGTTTTAAAAGTACTGTACAGCTATTTGTAACTAAATGGTACTTTTGCGAAAGAAAGATTATAAGGCTTATTGCTAAAACAAACTACAGAGATGCAGGCAGTCCTGTTTATTGGTTGGAGCCTTTTATTAGAAAAAGAAATATGTTGCCAATTGCTTGAAGTGTAGTGAAGGTTCAAGACACTCGGTGTGTTAACATCAGTTAACCTACTTTATTTCAAGATACAATATTTTGTTTGTACAAATTATCTCAAAATGCAAAAGTTACTTACTGTATTGTAAAATATAAAAGTACTGCTAATTACTGTATCTCAAAATACCAAATATAAGGTCCTGTGTATTGTATCAATGTTGTCGCATCAATTCAGTGTTGAATACTGTACCAAAATGTTATCTACCATTTAAATTTTTAATGTTTAATTATCTGAACTCATCAAGGATATACTTTGGCAGATCCTCCGATGACCTTCCAACTGCAGTAGCAATAAATGTTGGAATGCGGTCATCAAAGCCAGCTTCCTCGTGCTTTAAGACGCATCTTGAACCTTTCGCCAACCCCAATGATGGCTTGAAGAATGCTCACCAACTACTTAATTCGGCAGACTGGTGAGTAATTATGATATATGGTCTGAAAGGGGCATTTCACTGGCTTAAATAAAAACTGTTTCTCTATATCTTTTCTGGGCCATCTCAATATCTTGCTCTCCACAGCTTGACAGTAAGTTGGGATGAAATACTGCTCCACAGGGGCAGTATTTCTTCAAGCTATCACTGACGAACAGAGGTGTCGTAGGGAGCTCTCGAGATATTCATCCAGAGTAAAATGATCAACAGCTGCTAATTCAAAAAAAAAAAGTGATTGGTGTCCTAACAATTGGTGTCCTTTGAAACCTTGCACGACCAACAGCATCACATTTCCAGGTCCCTACACCTGTCTCCTCTTGCATACTTCTTGACTGTTGTCCCGTGAGCAGTTGGCAAGGTGGGGTACCGAATTTTCAATTAAGTTTTATGTCTTGTAAATTATGTTTTAGTTTCATAGCACGTTTGGGTTCATTCTATGCAGACGAGGAGTCACAATAACATGACGGAAAAAGTTGACCAAACCACACACTAGAGAGTGAAGAGACGACGACGTTTCTATTCTGTACTCACAATTGGGAATGTCAGGTTCGAATCTCGGGTGGGACAGAAATGGTTAGGCACGTTTTCTTTTACTTAATGCCTCTGTTCACCTAACAGTAAATAGGTATCTGGTATTTAGTTAACTGTTGTGAGGTTGCATCCTGGGGAAGGTCAACTCGCAGCTTAGTTTACTTCATTAATTATATACCCCATACCCATCCTGTGGGCGGTAGTGGAAAGGGTTACAGAGGCACATAATGGGCTCAGGGACTGAACCCCACAATTCATTTAGCTAAACAAGTTAATCTTAATGAGCTAATTACAACATCTAATGTATATTGTTACATCAACAATGGGCTCGAGACCAACCACAAGTACAGTTTGTAAATTAAGCAACTGACATGTGTGTAGTCAGTTGCATAATTTACATAATTCATAATTGGTATGTTTATCCTGCACACTGCCCCAACGAGTGGACAGCAGTGAGTGTGTGCTTCCTTGGGGGTCTTGGGGTTAAACTTCAGCTCTTCGGTCCCACCTCTCATCTCTCAATCAACTGGTCTACAGGTTCCTGAGCCTATTGGGTTCTATCATATGTGTGTGTTATATATATATATCTATTTGATTTATTTATTTATGAATAAATAAAGCATAGGGAACAGTTGTAAAACATTTTCACTGTACCTTAGGGAGAAGCAGGTTGAAGGGATCGAGTTGATAGTGAGGCTGAACGAACACCACCCTGAAGTTCTTCAGGCTGATTTGCACAACGTCAATTTAACACTGCTGAAGCAAGGAAAGAACCTCCGCTCCCAAGTGTCCCGTGCAGCCATCCAGGCATTTACACGTCTTTTTGATACTTTGAAACGGAGCATGGAGTCGGTAAGTAAATTAGGTTCCTACTCTTTATCTATAAATTTAACTTTTTACCTAGGTGGGTACAGGAGCAGATGACTTTTGACTGTTGTTAGAAAGCTTTCCTTTTCCCATAGCTCATGGTAAGCCTTGCCAATTAGTTTTCCCTGAAACATAATCTGGCAATGCAGTTAACAAACAGTTACCCAAATACTTTTAATTTATTGAATATTTCATCGGTATTAGAACTTTGACTGACATGGAAAGCTCCTTCTTAATGATCATTAAGAAGAAACCAAAGACCTGGTCCACCCAGGAGAAGATTAGTCATACAAGACAACTATCAACATTAACACCCATTGTGATGGAAATCTTTGCAAATGCTCTCCCCAAGGAGATTATAGTGAAGGGAGACACTGGAGATTTCTCATTTCAGGCCAGAATGACTGGCAGACAGAACATTCATTTAAACTCAAAACCCCTGTGAGGGATCCTTAGCTCTGCAGGAAATATACCAGGAATATACTTTGAGTGAGTTCAGGGGGGGTTCTTTTACTTCCCAAGCCCAACCTGGTGCCAAACATCACTTCAGTAACTGCTAGTTAGGTCACCATATTTCTACTCAATATTGCCACTATATGATCAAACCCTACCAGTCAATAAGGTTGCAAGGGAGCCCTCTCAACTTATATTCAGCCTAGACAACATCTCAAGATTCACTGAATAAACATGGATGACAAGGGAAGGGTTGGAAGCAACCAGAGAGTCAGCACAGAAAGGCAAGTTTTTTATTCATTCTAAGATAGAACATAAGCTCGAGAGAGGTAGGCATGCAGATCTCTGATGATGATCATAGGACACAACCTAGCTGTGATAGTTGGTAGGATGAACAAAGTAGGCCTTCACTAAAGATATAGCCCCAATGAAAAGGACATGAGCATTCTCATTTTGTTAACTTACTTTTCTTTAGTATTAAGTGTTTTATTCCCTCTCACATTTAGTTAACTTTGTTTTGATGTAATACTTTTAAATAGCTGCACAGTTTAGGGGTTATCCAGTCCTGCTGTCCATAATTCTCCTATCTTACTTCTCTTTCCTCCTTCCCTGTATCAATTAATTATAAAAAAACTTATTATTAGATATGTTTTTGTTTAGTAGACAGTACTAGAATATATACATTTTACTTATCTTTTTCATTTCAGGACTCGGACAAAATTGTCAATATGCTACTTAACCGCTCGGCCGATACGAACAAGTTCCTGCAGTTGGACAGCCATCATGCCTTGGATGCACTCGTGGAAAATATATCACCTACTAAGTCTATTCCTGCCATCATTCAAGAAGGGATGAAGTATATATGGATTTGTTCAGTATTGTTTTAATTATTTAATTACTGAATAAATTTAGCTTCTTGGTAATAACTACCTTGTATTGACAATCCAATAGGCTTTAATTTTTATTCAGTCTAATAGATTGTGTTATAGTAAGCATTCACTTTAATACTTGTGTTTCCCTTATTGAAGTAAATTTCCATTGAATCAGACAACTGTTGCATGTGGATATAATTTTGCACATATAGTAGTTATAGGTAGTTGTGTTTACTGTATAAACCTAATGCGACATTAACTTGTGTTAAATCAATGTATCACAACAGTCACAAGAATGCCGTCATACGAACAACTGTTGCTCGACTTCTGGCTTATGAGGTGGAACGGCTTGGGGCCAGCAGAGTACTCTCGGGCCAAAAGGATATAACAGACCGCTTACTACCCGCAGCTGCCAAACTGGCCCAGGATGGAAGCTTAGAAACTAGGTATGAATATTTAATGGTTATGCCTACAAGTCTTCAAGAAAACTATTCAGTGTCATATAGTATTTCAAAAAGATTTTGAGAATGAAGCCTACACTCTTTTGGGGGATGTTTGCTCTATATATAGTGAAAGCTTTAGTAGTATTAAAGGCCAGTTTCTGTACCTCAATATGAAAGTTATTTCCAATCAAAATTATAATCAAAATGTTTCATATTTTGAGTGAAAAATCATGAAAATGTATCTGCAGTGCCCCGCATGGAAAATGCTCCATACAGTATTGCAATATTCCATGGGAAAGTTTTCACTGTGGCTTGCCCGGGACTGGAATAAGACTTTGTGGGACTTGAGGCTAATAGTTCCTTCTTGATAAGAAACTTGATAAGAATTTTCTTATAGATTCCTTCAAGTCAATTTTTTATCTGAACATGTTAGCCTCACCATTCTGAGAGAAGCAGGATTTAGTTTTGGTTTCTGGTAGATGTCAGTGAAACCTGATAATAAAAGGTAGCCTTGCATTATCAGTATTATAAACTGAAGGAAGTAGCATTTCACTGCATTCAGTTCTTATTTTTGCAGCTGATCTACCTGAATTTACCTGAGGGCCACTAACACACTAGTGACCGCGATGAGGACAGGAACCGGTGGCTTGTCAAAGGTCCACCCTGTCCTGATAATTATTTCAAGCTGGATTTTAAAATTTGGCAGTTTTGGAATTTACAGCTTCAGCGGATAGGTGGTTCCACGAGTTTATAACCCTGTGGTCACGTGAAAAAGTATCTCCTGTTTTCAGTACTAAATTGTGGCTTGTTGAGCTTAAAGTCATTGCTCCTTGTTTGCATTACACGTGACCTTTTGAAAGAGTTGTCCAGATGAACATCCTCCAAACTGTTCACTATTTTGAAAGTTTCGATGAGATCAGTCCTATCACGTTGCAGTGTTGTTAGCCCTGTTAAAGACCTTGCTGAATGTTTTTTGTTTTCATTTTCTCAAAAAGAAAAATACATAATTTACCCCTCGTGGCTGTCAGAAATTTATATAAAATACAGTACTCCCACAAATGTTTATAATATATTCTTTGCAAATATTTTGCTTATTTTTATTCATAATTACTAAGCAATTTATACCATTCACACAACAGGCAGTATACAAAGCAGATCTTCCAGCTGTTGATCCAGCAACCGCAGTTTGACGCTGTCCTTAAGAAGTATGTAACGGCCACCGAGATAAAGAACATTCAGAAGTTCTTGGATAACTTGAGAAATGAGGTAAGAAATGGATGAATGGGAGTGTTGTAAATTTTGTGTGACATGAGGGTTTAGGATGGCTTAAAAAATCGTCACATAAAGGTCAAGGATTGACCAAAACGTGGTCACTATCATTTCACGTGCGTGTATGTTGGGTTATATTTTTTTCAGCCATATTAATGTGACTTTTCACAGCATTAATTGTGTAATCTTTTTTCAGGGTCGCTCTAATAAAGATTCTGCCCGCTCTAAGTTTGGTCACGGGTCTCGCTATACCAGGACAATGTGAGTAGGATAGTTCAGTTCAAAAGTCACTGTACAGTTGATTCCTCATAATAAACTTCTGTGCAGCTCAAAGAGAAATATGAAGGAAATTTGATCAGAGAAAATTTAATGTGGTGTTGATGTAAATAGTGTACAGTACATGTAATGAGAGTAAGTGAGACGTACTTCCTTGTCAGTAAGCATCTTTGTTATTAGCAACAGTCCCATACTCCAGTGCAGTGGGTTGATGGAACAAAACCTTGGTGATAAAGATTACAACAAGAAAAAGAATATGTTAAAGCAGGTTATAGCTGGAGAGTTTGTGTGTTTTATCATATTGATATTGAATTGACCTGAGGGCCACTAATACACTAGTGGCCTTGACGAGGACAGAAAGCCAGCGGCTTGTCAAAGTTGCCCCCATTTGCCCTGATGATTTTTTAAAGCAAGATTTAAAGATTTAACAGTTTTGGCATTTAATGCTTTGGCAGGTAGGCAGTTCCATGGGTTTATAACTCTGTGGGTGATAAAGCATCTTGTGTTTTCAGTCCTACATTGTAGCTTGTTGAGCTTGAAACTATTACTCCTTATTTGTGTTATATCTGACCTTTTGTAGAAATTGTTGAGTTCAACATCCTCCAAATTGTTCAGCATTTTAAAGCTTTTAATCAGGTCCACCCTGTCATGCCTGGTTTGCAGTGTTGTTAGCCCTGTGGCCCTGAACCGTTTCTGGTATGAGAGTTGACTTAGTTGTGGAATGATATGTTGATGATGAGGTCTTCATGCTTCGATACAGTAATGCAATTGGGGGCTGACCAGAGATATGTTTTATTTATTTTAATTTAAAAATAAGAAATTCCTATGTAATATAAGAGATCATGCAAGCAATGGTGTTGCTTGGTACTTAACTATAGTTAAACAAGAAATTGATAGTAAATAATTAAGAAAAATAATAAATAAATTTAAGCATTCATTCAGCTGCCAAAGCTAGACTGTGTATTCAAAAAATAAATTTGACACATTAAACAAATTGACATGTAATGCCTCACTTTGTGTATCTCTGTAGTCACAAGCAATTATAATAATAATAATAATAATAATAAATAATAATTTTTATTTAGGTAAAGGTACATACATAAAGAGATTTTACAAAGTTTGTTGGCTTTATAGATAGAGCTAGTACATACAATGCCTAAAGCCACTATTACGCAAAGCGTTTCGGGCAGGAAAAAACACTAATGACTAAAGCTTAAAACTAATGGGTAAAAAGAATAAAATGTGTTGAGTACAAATAAAAATAGAGGTAAAAGAGGGGGGAACATTGTTGAAAAAGCAGCACAAATACAATTACAAATTATTACAGAAAATTACATTCAAACAGCGTTGATTTGAAAAACAAAGAAAAAAAAACAAAAAAAAACATACATGGGTTGACAACAGAGGGGTAAGGTAGGTTACAGGGAATTTATTAGGTATAGCTTCGTTTTTAACTTAAACTGGTTGAGAGAGGTACAGTCTTTAACATGGTTGGGAAGGTCATTCCACATTCTGGGCCCCTTGATTTGTAGAGCATTTCTGGTTTGATTAAGTCGTACTCTAGGAATATCAAAACTGTATTTATTTCTGGTGTGGTGCTCATGGGTTCTGTTACAACCTTCTATGAAGTTTTTGAGATCAGGATTGGCATTATAGTTTAGCGTTTTATATATGTATAATACACATGAGAGAATGTGCAGTGACTTAATGTCTAACATATTCAGAGATTTGAGTAGGGGTACCGAGTGATGTCTGGGGCCAGAATTGGCCAGAATTGAAAGCTATATGCATAGATGCCCGAAAGCTGCCCGAAACGCTTTGCGTAATAGTGGCTTTAGGCATTGTATGTACTAGCTCTATCTATAAAGCCAACAAACTTTGTAAAATCTCTTTATGTATGTACCTTTACCTAAATAAAAATTATTATTATTATTATTATTATTATTATTATTATTATTATTATTATAGATGGATGACACAAAATAGCATTGTTCATATTGAATGTGTCATATTTTTATCCGAAGGCATATAACATTTTACTCACAAATTGTCATTATATATGTGTTATTACACTTATTTTATATAGTATATGAAGAGAGTTTTGCTCCTAGTGTCTTGCCATCTATGTATATTTATAAAGTAATTTGAAGAGTTCCATCATTTTTATCAACACAACCACCACATCAACTGTAGGGCATTTCCAACTGTTATAACTAATATATGTTATAACTAACCAACTGTTATATATAATACAACTGTTAGTAAAAAAAAAATAATAATTACTAATCTGAAGCATTTTTTCTGTAATATACAATTGTGGCTGCTCTTGACTACTCAGTTCTGAATTCTAACCTTTGCTCTCTATTTTAATGTCTGGTTACAAATGTGTGCTGTTACTTTCTCTCTCTTATTTTCTCTTTTATTCCCTCTTTTATTGTTGTGTAAATTGGCCATATTCAATACCTTATATCGTTCAACATAGCGCATGTGTCCTTATTCCGAAACTTATTTTGCTACATGGCTTTAGACATTTTATATCTTGGCTATACACTATACTTCATTAAGTTTAGGCACCATATAACAACCAATAGGCCAAAACACACACACACGTATATGAAAAGAAAATGGCGAAACAGCAAAATAAAAAATCGAGCCCAACCAAATCATTGGGACAAATGGGGAGACCATTGACAAGCTGCTGGCTTCCTGTCCTTGTCAAGGCCACTAGAGAGAGTGCCTTACAGGTAATGAGTAGTTGGGGGAATAAGTTGTGGATTAGTGATAAAAAAAATTCTGGTTACCATAATAGGCATGTGATTGCTGGATTGCTTCAAGAATAAGTTAAATATGTATATTTTAATGATCCAATGGGCGTTCTACAGTCCTTTATTATTATGTTTTATTTGCACATTATACAGTATTACATAATGTGTAATATTATTACATAATCATGAGACTTGTTCCAACTGTCATTACTTGACATTTGTCTATATAGTTTTACTCATTTAAATATTGTTTCATTTGCTGAGTTTATCCAACATGAATTAGAGGGGTGTTAGTCAGTCATTTCTTTGAATAATAATAATAATAATATTATTATCAGGCTTGAGTACACAGCAGTGTGCTGCTACCCTATTCTATACGATTGATTCAAGAATATAGATCAAGCACTAGGTACTCCTACTTTACCCTTCTAATATTATGTTGCAATGTTTGGCATTTTCATTTAGCTGTCAATTTTTATTCCACTTGGATGAGAGGGGGTGGGATTGAAGGTACAGTAGTCCATAATGGACAAATAAATGTTTCTGAATATTGAATCTACATTCAGGGGGATATCTTGTTTGATACTATTTCTTTCTTCTGTCAGTATCTAATGGCAGTGATTTGTATGGGTCCCACTTGTTTGTGTAGTCATGATGATGGTGCAGGGAGTGTTGTAATGTACCGGTCCTCTTATTAATGAATGCGTCCTTGAAAGTTCTTATTTGTCTACTACAGTACTGTATTACTACACCACCACAGCTCTCAAAAGGCTATCCACTCATGTGGCTTTTCCCACAATAGAGTTCTTGTTGAGTCCAATATCTTTGCTATTAAACGGCTTATCCTTTTGGTCTTATATTGGCATCTTGAGTGATATTTAGGATGTTTTAAATACAGTATCCTGTGACACAGACGGTGCTATATAGTATTCCTAGCTTGGTGTGTGTACTTTTGATAATTAGTTGGTGTTTTCTCATATCACACTTCCATTAGCCTGTGCTTGTCTTTCATTATTCCTACTGAATGATACTCTCAGGTAGATATATATTGCTTAGTCACAGCTTGACTTTCCTCCTCCCAATTATTACATTCAATTTACACATCTCTTGAGTTATAGAACCTCTATATTATTTGTCTTTAGTTTGTTTTGTTTACATACAGTATTTCCTAACGCTGCCTGGGGAAGTATTTAAGGCAGGCTCTACCTGGTCTCTGCCTCACGTTCTTGCTATGTGCTCTCACTCCAGTCCCATACCACACATACAAATCACACGCAAGTTATTTTCACACCATATTCAGTTGTTATCCTAGGATGCCTGTCCTGGTCTCTGCAGCCTATTCCTTCTCTCACATCGATGGAGTGGCGGCAGCAACACCAGAAAATACGTCAGGGCCCCACGGCACTTGCTGGGGCAGGCCTCCCCTCTGCCTGTAGCCCATGGGTCTCCTCCTGCTGCCTGTGTCCTCTTTTTTCCTGAGGGATCCTATCTCTGCAGTGGCCTCGATAAGTCAAGGAAGCCAGTGATAAGGTTCTCCCATTTGTCATCATGATGTTATTGAGCTGGATTTTGAAATTCAGCCATTTTAGCATTTACGGCTTTGGTGAGTAGGCAGTTCCAAGGCTTGAAAATATTGCTGTTGGTCATGTTACATCTGACCTTTTGCAGAAGTGGTCATGATCAATATCACCCAAATTGTTAAATATTTTGTCAATGAGATTTGCCCTAGTTTGGAGTGTTGTTAGCCCTGTGACTGTCAACTGTTACTGGTATCAGAGATGACTTGGTTCAGAATTGATTTTTGTTGCCCATTGTTAATGTTTAATGTTTCTTCAAAGTAGATATGTCTTTCTGAAGTAGAGGTCTCAATGCTTGGATACAGTAATCCAAGTGGGGGTACACCAGAGATTGTTACAATTGTCTGCGTTGTTTTCATTAGTCGGAGTTTCACTTGTCCATTCTTAGGATTTAGTATGATTTTGTTATTGCAGGGCTGGACAGTAGAGCAACGGTCTCATTTCGAGCAGGTAGGCGTTCAATCCTTGACCATCCAAGTGCTTGGACACTATTCCTTTCTTCCAGTTCCATCCCAAATCCATATCCTTCCCCCTTCCCAGTGGTATATAGTTGTAATGACTTGGCACCTTCGTCTGATAATTCCTTCCTTCCCACTTATTGTGTAACTTTTAGTGATTGGTGGATTGTTACTGGAAGGTCCTTTTTCTTCATAAATCTGCTGTAAGATAATGCAGCAGATTTATAATATATTATAATTATGATAATATTAAAAAACATTTATCAGGCCTTCCCTCTGCCTAATCCTCTCGGACGTAGGTTTGAACCCTTGTCACGGCCCTTGTTCATTTGATGCATCACGCTATTGTGATTTCTGTGTGTAATGAAGTAAGGGCAAAGAGGTAGAACAGCTTATTGACAGAGCTCAGATGCATGGGGGAATTGTGTAAAACCCTGGTTTGTGTTTCTGAGAGGCTGCAGGACCCGAGTAAGGTCAGTAGAACTTCCGGTTGCAATTCTTTTACCATGTCGTAGCTCAGTCGATTAAGGTGCATCTGCGATCCTCTCGGATGTAGGTTCGAACCCTCGTCACAGCCCTAGTGGATCTGTTCATTTGATGCATCACGCTATGGTGATTTCTGTGTGTAACATTTATCAGTCTTCCAACCAATTGTGGAGTTCATATATAAATCTCTTTGAAAAGCATCATTGTCATGTCCAGCTTGACCATAAATCAAATCTTGGTGTTATCAGTAAATTATGATAATGTGGGTTGTAATAATCTCATCTGTCATTGATGTATATGACAAAAAAAGGTTTGCCACAAAATTAAATTTTGTTGTACCCCACTCAACACACATCTCCAGTCAGATTTAATTACATTTAGGGTGACCCTTTGGTTTCTTTGTTTTAACAATAGTATTATCCAATCTAGAGTTCTATCATTTATTCTTTGTGTCTGTGCTTTCCTTGCCAGTCCTTCATGCAGTACCTTATCAAAATGCTTTGGGATGTGTTGGCGTGAAATTTGCTCCGTCCTGTGTTGCTGTTCCCAACCGCGTGTCCTCCCTCCTAGGTCCTGTTATGTGTGTGCACCCTGCCCTCTGTATCTTTGTGGCACCCCTGGGTTTCCCCATTGTCCCCCTGTGGCCCTGCACTCCCACATCTCCTGTGGCATCATTGCAGCCTTCAGGGTCACTTCTTCCTACTCGTTTTGCCTCTACATGCCCTTACCCTGTGTGGCATTTTCCCACCTCCCTAGGTGCCCCTGGGCAATTTGGTGTGTCCTCTTGTCGGTGTTCTCCCTGGCCCGC